TTGTGACTCACGTGGCATCCAGTTGGAGGCTTTTCTCCCTATCACCCCCTCCATGTTTTAAAATACGGGTACTCCCACCCATTTTGATCCTCGTACTCATACTCTCTCTTGCATCGATCTATCAGTCTGCTCTTCCTCCACTGCACTAGACTTCACCTGGTCTGTTCTACCGGACTTACATGACAGCGATCATTTTCCAATCATTCTTACTTCTCCTTCCTATTCACCACCTTTCCGTAGCCCTCGCTGGCAATTTGATCGGGCAAATTGGAACCTTTACTCACACCTCACTGCTTTTAGTGAGGTTCCTTCTTCATCCTCCATTGATGAGCTCCTACACCTCTTCTCGATGTCAGTTTATACTGCAGCTTCTCATTCTATACCCCAAATCTCAGGCAGGCATTCTCAGAAGTGCATGCCTTGGTGGTCTCCTGCTTGTGCTTGTGCAGTACGTTTGAAACGCGCTGCATGGGGTAGGTACCGGTACAATAGAACCGCTGAGAGACTTCTTGATTTTAAGCAGAAGCGTGCAATCGCTCGCCGTGTCATCCGTGAAGCTAAACGCACTTGTTGGCAAGACTATGTTTCCACCATCACCTCTGCTTCTTCTATGAGTGCAGTCTGGAAAAAAGTGAGGAAATTGAGTGGTAAATACTCTCCTGACCCGGCTCCTGTTCTACGGGTCGCTGGTGTTGATGTAGCAAACCCTCTCGACGTTGCCATTGAACTTGGCACACATCTGGTCCGTATTTCCCAAGGGCTCCATCTATGCCCCTCGTTTCTTTCCTCAAAGTCTGCCAGAGAGTTAGTACCCTTGGACTTTTATTCTCTCAGAGAAGAACAGTATAATGTGCCTTTTACACTTCAAGAACTAGAGGCAACGCTCTCAGCTTGCCGATCATCGGCAGCTGGGCCTGACGACATTCATATTCGTATGTTACAACATTTACATCGGTCAGCCCTTGTAGTCCTCTTACACCTCTTCAATCTTATTTGGGCACAAGGAGTTCTTCCCCAGTTGTGGAAATCTGCCATTGTTCTCCCTTTCCGCAAACTGGGTACTACAGGACATGATGCCTCCCACTATCGTCCCATCGCTCTTACTAGTGCAGTTTGCAAAGTGATGGAACGTTTCGTAAACGACATTTAATGTGGTATTTAGAGAGACACAACAGTCTCTCCGCTAGTCAATATGGCTTTCGTAAGGTCGTTCTATCCTAGACCCCTTACTACGCTTGGACACGTATGTTCGTAATGCTTTGCGAATAATCACTCAGTTATTTCCATATTTTTTGACCTGAGAAGGCATATGACACAACTTGGAGGTATAATATTTTGGCCCAGGCCCATTCCTTAGGCCTCCAAGGCAATCTACCATCCTTCCTTAAGAACCTTTTAACTGACAGACATTTCCGTGTTCGAGTCAATAATGTTCTTTCCCCGGACTTCGTCCAAGCTGAAGGTGTCCCTCAGGGATGTGTTCTAAGCACAACACTTTTTCTCCTTGCTATAAATGATTTGGCCTCTGTTCTCCCCCCAAAATTTGGTCATACCTTAGTTGATGACTTCGCTATTGCTTGTGCAGGCGCTGACTGTCATCTTATTGCAGTTTCTCTCCAGCATGCGGTCGACCGTGTTTCCACTTGGGCCACCACGCATGGGTTTAAATTTTCAAGTACCAAAACTCACCAAATTACTTTCACTAGACGCATCTGTTATCTCCGATCATCCTTTGTATCTCTATGGCTCCCGTATCCCCAAACGTGATAGTCAGGTTTCTAGGCCTTCTCTTTGACCGAGGTTATCCTGGAAACCTCACATTACCTCTCTGAAGGCAACTTGTCACAGCCGGCTAAACGTTCTTAAACCCTTGCTCATCTTTCCTGGGGAGTGATCATCGAACTCTGCTTCGCTTACATTCAGCCCTCGTTTTATCGAAACTTGATTATGGTGACCAGATTATTCCGCGGCCTCTCCTGCTACTCTCTCTAGCCTTAACTCTATCCATCACCAAGGATTACGTTTGTTGCCTTGGGCTTTCGCTCTTCCCCTGTTGAGAGCCTCTTATGCAGAAGCGAATGTTCCATCCTTGTCTGATCGCCGTGATGCCCATTGCCTTTGCTACTATGTACGCTCTCACGATCTCCCAATCCTTCCATTTATAGAATGGTCACCGATATTAGTAGACATTCTTTATTCGTTCGCCCCCCTGTTTGCTTCGCCTACATTCACTCTTGTCTTCCCTTCAGTTACCACCTTTATATGTTCATGTAGCATCTCACTTTCTCCTACCCCCCTGGGAAGTTCCAGCTGTTCGGTCTGTTCTTTCTCACTCCCTTGCTCGAAAGCTCAACTGCCTACGGCGGCTTCCCGCTCTCTTTTTCTTGATCACTTCCACTCTCATTCTCATGCCACCACTGTGTACACAGATGGCTCTAAGTCTTAGACGGCGTCGGATTCGCAGCAGTGTTTCCGGACAGGCGTCGTGCGGGGACATTTACTATCTTCGGCTAGCATTTTTTACTGCTGAACTGTATGCCATTCTTGCAGCACTTATTCGTACGCATCTATGCCTGGGTCATCATTTGTGTAGTCTCAGACCCCCTTAGTGCTCTACAGGCTATACGAAAATTTGATACATCTCACCCCATAGTTTCTCCGTATCCAACTTTGGCTACGCCGTATCTCTACGAAGCATAAAGATATTATTTTTTGTTGGGTCCCTGGTCATGTCAACGTACAGGGCAATGAACAGGCAGACATACTGCTCGTGGTCAGCAGTACATGACCTACAATTTCCTATAGAGGTGTTCCATTTCTGGACTATTTTGCTACAATAGCTGCCACCTTCCTGCCCGTTGGCAACAACGTTGGTCAACTCTGCTTGGTAACAAACTCATTCTATAAACCGAGCATAGGTTACTGGCCGTCTTCTTGTCATCAGTGCCGTGGTTGGGAGACCACTCTCCTCCCGTCTTTGCATTGGCCACACTCGTCTTACTCACGGGTATCTCATGGAGAGGCACCTGTACCTCTCTGAGCAGTGTCAAGTTCCAGTATCGCTTAGCCACATTCTGTTAGATTGCCTACTCTATCAAAGACACACAAATTTGACTTGTGGCTTAGCGCTTCTTTTTGATTATAATAATAATAATAATATATGAAACTTGAGAGGATCCTCAAATAGAATGAAAGGAACACACAAAAGACTCGGGAGTAATTACATCAGCTGACCTTTCTTGAAAAGAAAGAACTCAATGAGATCAAAGTCATGACAGCCAGAAAGATGACAAGGTGGATTATGGTGCAAGTGGTGACCCTTTTCAAATTGCTCGTATCTCATTTGGAATATTACTTAGTGTTGACAGCCCCATTCAGAGCAGGAGAAATATCAGAGCTGGAACAGATGCAAAGATTGTTTATGACCCACTTAGAGCCAATAAAACATTTAAATAACTGGGAATGCCTTAAAGTCCTAAATATGTACTTGCTGGAATGGAAGAGATACTTGATATATATCTGAAAAGTACTTGAGGGCCTTGTCCCAAATCTGCATACTGCCATAACATACTGGAGTGAGAGATATGTAAGTGTAAAATAACACCAGGATGCAGTAGGCACAATTAGGGAATGCTGTATCAATGTCAATGGCCCCAGACTATTCAACATTTTACCAAAAGAGATCAGAAACACTGGGATAAGTGTAGAAATCAAGAGGAAACTGGACAAGTATCTTAAACCAGGTGCCAGATCAACCAGGCTGTGATGGATATGTAGGTGACCAGCAGCAACTGTCACGTGGGTTCAACGACGTGGATGGGGTAAAAACACTCACGTAGGCTGGTTAGTACGTATAATTATAACGGAAAGTATGGGAAGCACCATCAGCCGCCCTGCCTCTCTCTGCTCTCTATCTCAGACTGACCCACCAGTGCCTAGAGGGTGAGCAGTGTTCAAAAACATGCTATGGTCAGCAGCAACGTGAATAACAGTCAGTGATTCACACAGACGGTTGGTAGTGAGTCATCTACTGGTAATACTGAGACAACAGCCTGGTTGACCAGGCTGTTACTGCTGGTGGGGTCCCCACCCTGTACTGTACTCTCAAGAGCTGTGCTATGCTGTACTTTTAACCCATTTTCTTTTCAGGTACATTTACAGATATTGTATTATACTCCAGTTTGTTCTTAGTATGTCTGGTACTCCATCAACATAGTGGACTAAGAATGTTTTATTGAGTGTTTGTCCACGTCTGGTATCGATCAATTAGGTGAACTACACCTGCTTAATTGAAACTTTCTATACTACAGAATTTTCGTTAAATTTAAACCCCCCCCCCCTTTCCTCCCTCCCTATTAATCCATTTTATCCAACATTTACTCTACCACTAAAATGGTTATTAGTGACAGTCGTAAGAAAAAAATGCCAGGAATATAGACAGAATTAGTCAAAGAATGACTGAGCACATTTTGAGTGAAATCCTATATGGCTAATTTTCAAGTTAAGGGTCATTCACCAAACATAAAAGATATGGGTAATTTGAGAAAGTCAACAGATAATCAAATCTATTCATGGGATGCTGTATAGCCCTTGTGGCTTAGTGCTTCTTTTTTATTATAATAATAATAATATTCATGGGATGCCCATCAGTAAAAATACTGGATAATCAAATACTGCAAATAAGAAACCCTAGATATTCTAAATTAGCAGCAAATACTGATAATGAATCAAACGATACAAAATTCCATTTAAAAGCTTGTGGGATGAATTGTGTGCATATTCTCACTTCAAGGGAGGGGGGAATTGGGTCTTGTTGCTGAAGAGCTCTTGATCAAAGGAATTAGAGCTATCCCTTTCCTTGTATCAAACTTAATTGCCTCACAGATGATGTATGACCCTTAAGGGTTTACTGCATCAAAAATGTAATAATAATCCAGATATAAAAAGTTAATCATCTTTATTTTTAACAATAGGTAAATATAGCTCATAGTTCAACTCACCTAATAATGAAGTCTATGTCATTGGAAGCAATAGTGATGTGTATGGGTGGGAGCTGTATCACCTCATATTCTGAGTGATTCTCTATTGTTGCTCGTACTGCATTCTTCAATATCTCCGGTAGGATATAATCCAGTGGCACTAAATAAAAATAAAAGTACAGTGCATGAAAATAAAGTAGCTAATGTCTTACAAACACTATGGTTAATGTTGTACTGTAAATCAGCCATTAACCTTTTGAACTGTAGGTTGTATGGGCTATCTTGTTGACCATATAATGGTGGATTTTTCAATACTAACAAGAAAAAATTTATCTCAAATAAGAACTATTGGATTGCTGGTTTCTTTTTCTGTCTCATAAACACGCTAGATAACAGGGATATCTTGCTACCCCTACTCACAATTTGGTCCACTTCACAGAGACGCACATGCATATATATATACATACATCTAGGTTTTTCTCCTTTTTCTAAATAGCTCTTGTTCTTCTTTATTTCTTCTATTGTCCATGGGGAAGTGGAAAAGAATCTTTCCCCCCCGTAACCATGTGTGTCGTATCAGGCGACTAAAATGCCAGGAGCAATGGGCTAGTAACCCCTTCTCCTGTAGACATTTAATAAAAGAGAGAAGAAGAAAAACTTTATAAACTGGGATGCTTGAATGTGTGTGGATGTAGTGCGGATGACAAAAACAGATGATTGCTGATGTTATAATGAAAAGAAGTTGGATGTCCTGGCCCTAAGCGAAACAAAGCTGAAGGGGTAGGGGAGTTTTGGTGGGGGGGAAATAAATGAAAATTTTTCTGGAGAAACCTGAGAAAAAAGGTAAGGGGAAAAGGGAAAGAAGAAAGATCAGGGAAAGAGAGGTGAAGTTTTATAAATAAAGGGGCAATTAGGGGTTAAAAGCTATTGGAGGATAAGGAAAGAGATGGGAATGGTAAAAGGGTAGGGGTAGTTTAAAAAAAGTAGTGTAGAGTGTTAGGAAATTTTGGGGTTTAAGGAAAGTGGGTGCAGGGAAGAGGACTTGGGGTGAAGATGAAAAGGGAAGTAAGGGAAAAAATTAGAAGAGATTTTTAAAAGTAGGTGAGCAAGGAGGGAAGTTTTGGGAGAAAAAGAGGAGGTTAAGAGAGTGGTGAAAAATTAAAAAAGGACCCAAATAAAGGTGGGGTGGATTTTATAAAAATTTTGGAAAATAGGAAAATTTTTTGGAGGAGATTAAAATTAAAACCCAAAGAAAAATGGATTTGCTTTTAAAAATGGAGAGGAGAGTTTTAAAGGGGAAGTTAAGGGGTTTGGAAGAGGGGGGGGAAAATTTGGGGGAAAATTGTTAAATGTTATAAGATAGGGAAGTGTTGATTTTCGGTAAGGGCAAGGAGGAATAAAAATTTTGGGATGAGGGGACCCATTTTGGAGTGTGGGGAATTTTTCAACATATTAAAATGAAAGGGGGTGGGACCGGGTTAGGAAAGTAAAAAAAATGTTTAAAAATGGGAAAAGTTTTAAAGGGTTTGGTGAATTATTTAATAAATGTAGGGAAAAGGGAAGGTACCTAGGGAGGAGGAATCTTTTCCTTGTAAAAGGAAAGGGGAAAAAAAGAGTGTGGGGGAAGTTCGTGAGGCAGTGGGTAAAATGAAAGGGGGTAAGGCACCCCGGGATTAAAGGGGATAAAGTAGAAAGTTAAAAGCAGGGGGGAATATTTTTTGGGGGGGTTTTGGGCAATTATTTAATAAATTATGGAAAGGGTAAGGTCCTGGGGATTGCAAGGGGCATCTAGTTCCTTTTTTAAAAAGGGCAAAGGGGAAAAAAGGAGTGCAAAAATTATGGGGGGATAAGTCTGTTGATTAACCGGGTAAAGTGTATGTAGAGTTATATTGAAAAAATTAGAGAAAAGACGGAGAATAGGATACAGATAACAAGGAGGTTTTTAGAAAGTAGGGGGTGTGGGGACCAGGTGTTTACAGTGAAACTATAAGTGAACAGTATTTGAAAAGGGCTAAAAGGTTTTTGGGTGAAATTTATGGATTTGGAAAACGTATGCAGGGGGATGGGGGGGCAATGGGGCAATTTGCAGTGTAGGGTGTAGGAGGTAGGTTACGAAACAGTGAAGTTTTACAGGATAGTGGGGCTCAAGTTAAGTATTAGGAAGAGGGAAATTATTTCCCAGTAAAAGTAGGCCTTAGACAAGGATGTGTGATGTCACCGTGGTTGTTTAATATATTTTATAGATGGGGTTGCAAGAGAAGTAAATGCGAGGTCTTGGCAAGAGGCGTGGAGTTAAAAGATAAAGAATCACACATAAAGTGGGAGTTGTCACAGTTGCTCTTTGCTGATGACACTGTGCTCTTGGGAGATTCTGAAGAGAAGTTTGCAGAGATTGGTGGATGAATTTGGTAGGGCATGCAAAAGAAGAAAATTAAAAGTGAATACAGGAAAGAGTAAGGTTATGAGGATAACAAAAAGATTATGTGATGAAAGATTGGATATCAGATTGGAGGGAGAGAGTATGGAGGAGGCGAATGTATTCAGATATTTGGGAGTGGACGTGTCAGCGGATGGGTCTATGAAAGATGAGGTGAATCATAGAATTGATGAGGGTAAAAGGGTGAGTGGTGCACTTAGGAGTCTGTGGAGACAAAGAACTTTGTCTTTGGAGGCAAAGAGGGGAATGTATGAGAGTATAGTTTTAACCAACGCTCTTATATGGGTGTGAAGCATGGGTGATGAATGTTGCAGCGAGGAGAAGGCTGAGGCAGTGGAGATGTCATGTCTGAGAGCAATGTGTGGTGTGAATATAATACAGAGAATTCGTAGTTTGGAAGTTAGGAGGAGGTGCGGGATTACCAAAACTGTTGTCCAGAGGGCTGAGGAAGGGTTGTTGAGGTGGTTCAGACATGTAGAGAGAATGGAGCGAAACAGAGTGACTTCAAGAGTGTATCAGTCTGTAGTGGAAGGAAGGCGGGGTAGGGTCGGCCTAGGAAAGGTTGGAGGGAGGGGTAAAAGAGGTTTTGTGTGCGAGGGGATTGGACTTCCAGCAGGCATGCGTGAGCATGTTTGATAGAGTGAATGGAGACAAATGGTTTTTAATACTTGACGTGCTGTTGGAGTGTGTGCAAAGTAACATTTATGAAGGGGTTCAGGGAAACCGGCAGGCCGTACTTGAGTCCTGGAGATGGGAAGTACAGTGCCTGCACTCTGAAGGAGGGGTGTTAATGTTGCAGTTTAAAAACTGTAGTGTAAAGCACCCTTCTGGCAAGACAGTGATGGAGTGAATGATGGTGAAAGTTTTTCTTTCTCGGGCCACCCTGCCTTGGTGGAATCGGCCAGTGTGATAAAAAAAAAAATAATATAAAAAAAGAAGAACTATGTTAAAGGCAGAATGTAGTTACTGGTTACCCACTTTTTTTTTTTATTAATAATTTCCTTCAGACAGAGAACCCTGATGCTGCTCAGTGAAAGGCTCATAATACAAGGAGAGGAGTAGCCCCAATTCCTTCGGTGTATCAAACCTGATTGCTTCCAATTTCCCTAGCACTGAATAACCCTTACATATTTAGTACTACAAGAATATAATGATTGATAATAATGGGAGCCTTTGACCAAACTTTGTATAGAAAGAGGTAATACATATTTTAAGAAAGAGAATAAATAAATCTACAAGACATAATATAGGGCATAATGATAAATAGTTTGCTGGACTATGTATTAGTGGATAAAAGGCTGATGGACAGACTTCTGGATATACATGTTTATAGAGGGACAACAGATGCCTTTGATGAGTTTCAAGAGTCTTACTACTCTCAGAGCCCAGTCATGGGTCAGGCTAAGATCATCATTTAGTTGTAGCTACAGTGAAAGTAAGGGGTAGATGGGGTATAAGGAAATTGACATCAATGAGTAAGAGAGGTGAAAGTGTATAAACTAAAGGAGGTAGTTAGAGTAAGATATAAGTAAAAAAAATGAGAAGGTTATGGTACTATGAGGTAGATTTAAGAATGCAGTGTTAGAAAAGTGCAGCATTCTAGCACTCATCATTCCACCAATCACTGAGGAGTGATTGTAAAAAA